TGGAGTCTTGGCGAGCTGCCAAAGAGTCTTCGACGTTCATGTATTTTTGGGCTTTAGTGAGGAGCGAGGCCATGGTGGTCGGGAGGTTTTTGGAGAGGGAGAAAAGGAAATCGAACGGGCGCAGACCGGCTATGAAGGCTGTGAGAATGACCTTGTTGTCATTTTCCTCCACTTCGAGGGCTTCGGCGTTGAAACGGGTGACATAGCTGCGTAATAACTCCCCGTCCGTCTACCGAATGTTCAGCAGTTGGGTAGCTAGATGTCGTTGTCGCTGAGTATCGATAAAATGACTTAGGAAGGATTCGTTGAGCTGGCGAAATGAAGTGATCGAGTCTAGAGGGAATTGACTAAACCAAAGGCGCGCCGACCCCTTTAGCTTGATAGGAAAAGCGCGACACATGATTTCATCTAGAAAGGCGTGTAACATCATAAGTGTCTGGTATGCTTCTACATGGTCGACGGGGTCGATGGTACCATCGAAAGTGTCGGTCAACGGCATATTGAACTTAGGAGGGAGGGCTTTATCCCGGATAGAGGCAGTGAAAGGAGAGTTGTTGGTGAAGGAAGTCTTGTGTTGCATGTTCTGCAAGACCCCCTAAAGTTGGAGTTTCATGGCCCGTAGCTCTTCATCCCAGATGAGAGCATTATCCCCACAAGTAGGGATCGGGGGTTGAACGCTATTAGCCTCGCCCTTATGGGTGATCGTATGGTGTGGTAAAGGGTGGTTGTGGAAAGGTGGTGGTATATCTAGGCAAGGTTGTGAGCTTGACTGCGGAGGGTGGAGAGGTTGAGGATCTGGTAGGGCGAAGGGTGGAAAGGTTTCTTGAGACATGCGTGGTGGGAATTAGTGGTGATGATAGGCTTGTTTTGGGCACGGTGGAACCATTGGTTATGGTGAAGGCGGGATAGGCAGATTATGCTAGAGTAGAGCATTGATCAAGGCCTGGTTCTGTACAGTCAGTCGGTTAATACTGTTGGTGAGTTCTGCGAAATATGAAGGCAGGTTATTTGGGTTGGAGGGCTTAACTTCGAGGTTGCCAGCATTGTGTTGGGAAGCCATGGATCTAGTCGTGACCATCCACTTTGACGTAGGATGAAGGCGGGGCTCCTTCCGGCGACAGTGAACACAACTGCCTTTTCGAAACGAAGTTTCCCACAGACGGTGCCAACAGATACAGTTCTATTTCTGACAGGAGATGGATCGGGCTGAGCTGAGCTCCCAACGAGTCTACTGGTCTTGAGGTCCGTGGAGCACCTTTGGAAAGGGTTCAATGGGGGAGATTGTCTCCCGGAAGACACTCCAACGATCAAGTTAGTATAGGTAAGATTAACTATGTAGAGAGAGAGGGAAGAGGAGAGATGCAAAACTTAACCTTTGATGTGTCTCAAAAACTTCCTTATATCCTTTTTTCATCAGTTTTTTGTCCATTTCAGCTTGTCGTGCTGGTCCAAAGTCTACGTTCTAGCTTGTGTTGTTATGGTGAGTTTGTATATTCCGATGTGAGGAGGTTGTCGCATTTAGGGTTGGTTTGGGATGTTCTAAAAAAGTGTACTTTTTGACTTATTGGCTTATATGGGTTGGGTTTGAGTTGGGTTTGATGTGATGTGTTAGAGAGGTGATGTGATTTAAATAAGATGATGTGACTTAAATAGGATAGTGACTTTTTGTATTATTTAGGTCATGCCAAACTTGGCCTTAATGCTGTTAAAGCCTCATTGATGGCTGATGTGTGGTGCAATAACTTTGCAAGATCATTGTCTACTTACGTGTCTAGGCTCCTGTTCGGCTAAATTTTATTGGTCCTGGTCTAATGTTGATGTTATTAGGCTTAGACCGCAAGAATGTGGGTTGGGCCCTCGTAGCTGGGCTCTCCTAGGTGCCCATTGATATCACTAACAATGAGGTGTTTATAATTTTTTAAATCACAGGGGGTAATCTGTGCTTAAGCAAATCTCAAGGATTGTATTTATAATTTATCCTATTTTTTATTATATAGGAGAGTAATTAAAAATTTTATTTTTTAATTAATTTTTTTAAACAAAAAAATCTCATAAATATAGGAGAGTAATTAAAAATTTTATTTTTTAATTAATTTTTTTAAACAAAAAAATCTCATAAAATGATATTTGTAATTTTCCAAACTATGAGACTAATTCTTATTTTAAATAAATTAAAATTTTAAGAATGTATTTGTAATTTTTTATTTTATTATTTTATTATTTTATTATTTTATTTTTTTATATCTAATATGAAGTTTCGAGAATGCCTCACGTGGACATTGATTCATCAAGAAGAAGAATGTAGGTCAAAAACGACGCCGTCGGTTTGTAACCTCACGCATGACATACTGGCTAAACGATGTCGTATGTTGCCTTTCAATGCAAGTTCTCCTCTTCCTATTTCTGAAAAAATAAATAATAAATTAAGAAATAAATAAATTTTTTTTATAATTTTAATTAATTTTATGAGTGACATAGAAAATCATCAATGGGGAGGGGTACCTTGTTCTCCAATAATATTTGGTTATAAAGTGTAAAGGGACTAAAGGATAAATTGTTCAAATTCATCATGAAAAAGTCCCAATAATATGTGAGAATTTTTTTTATAGATCTTAAAATTATTGTTATTAGTATATCCCTACTTATGAGTTTATAAGGCATTAATGCGTCCTTTATTGAAAACTAAAGTAAGAAACGAGAGAAGTCGAGATTGTTTGGAATGATTTAAATAAATATATTTTTTAATTTTTTATGAAAAGATGTGTAAAAAAGTAGAGAGTTGATGTGATCTAAAAAAAATAAAAAAATAAAAAATGTGCTTATATGACACACTCTAAACAATATGTTTTTATTATAATTTATTTAAATCGTCAAACTCCTCTTAATTCGTATAACGGACAACTTGAATCCTTTGAATTGAAACTTGATTATTTTTAGTTAGATTTTTTTGTTCAAAACAATAATCTATCATGCATTACTTCGGGGAATCTATAGTTATATTATATTACTAAACTCATGTCCCAATGAATCTATAGTTATATTATATTACTAAACTCATGTCCCAATGAATGAGAGAAAATGCAAATGATTTGGTTTATACTATTCATATAAACGGGTGTGCCAGTAAAAGTTGTATTAAGATTAGATTTTGTTTGGCGAAATAAGTTGAGATTAAAAAAAATATAAAAGATAAAATAAATTAATAAAATAAAATATCATATTTAAATCATAATTATATTTTTTTTTTTACAAAAGTGAAAAAAATCAATCAAAATGAACTTTTTAATTCGTTAAAAAAATCTCAATTCAAAAAAATAAATTAAAAAAGCCTCAGTCAAACGACAACTTAAATTCTTTGGCTCAATTGCAAGGCAAATAATCTTACTTGAATGGTAGCAGCTTAAAACTGACTCATGAAGCAGGCTTTCAAACTTGTATGCATTGCATATGAGAGTTTATACAATACATCAATTTATAAAGTCTAAATTAATATAAGTTTACACATAAATACATGGATGAATAGTCTTCTCAAATGCCATCAAAGAACAAGACCAACTAGGTGTGTTTTGCGTAACCACGATGCAAAATATTTAATTTCAAAACATCTTTCAAGATTTTAATTAGAAACTTCTCTCTCTCAACTTTTCAAAACTTTATTTGCTTTTATTTTTTATTTCTTTTTTCTTTTTTCATTTTTCCTTTTTCCTTTTCAGTCTTTATCTTTATCCTTGTGACTGGCCTTTTTTTTTTTTTTTTTTTTTTTTTTTTTTTGTTTTTTGGGGTGAATAAGACATAATCCTTTTGATTGGCTATTTTCAATTGAAAAGCATCTTCACCCCAACTCCTTAAGAAGGGGGTCAACTGTGATGTTTTTTTTTTTTTTTTTTGGATAAATTATAAACACATTTCTTGGGGTTTAATTAAAATATAAATCGCCTCTTATGATTTTAAAAATTGCATTTCACCCCCTGAAATTTTTTATTTCATAACAAATCGCCTATTTTATTAATATATTACCAAGTCAATTAACAGTTTTTAATAATGTTAGAAATATCTTTCAATTAATAATTTAAGTAATTTTATTATTATATAGGAAAGCAATTATGAATTTTATTTTTTTAGTTAATTCGGTTAAATAAAAAATTCTAATAAGAGAGTATTTGTAATTTTTTGAACTACAAGGAATAATTTATATTTTAAGCAAACCTCAAGAAGTGTATTTGTAATTTATTCTTTTTTTTTTTTTTAAGTTGCACGTAATAGCATATTACTAAAATTTGGTACCGTACTTTGGAAATTAGATTTTTTGTTTACTTTTTTGTAAAAAAAAAAAAATTATCGAAAAAATTGTTTACAAGTTTTGAAAAAATCTTTTTGCGCCAAAATGAAAATTATGTAAAAACAAATTTCTCATTATTTTGTTTCCAAAAGCATGAGAAACACTGAAAAAACAAATACATAATCAAACAAGGTTTTGGTATTTTCAAACATAAATTTAGAAGAGAGGAGGGGAATGAGAAATTTGTTAGCCCATCTGTTTAAAATGTTTTCCATGAGAAATTTGTATGACCCTTTGGGCATGTTTGATTAGATAGATTAGAGCATAATATTGTGATTATTAATCCGTATGTCCAATTATCCTATATTTATTTTAACATTTTGGTTTAAGATTATTAATCCAATGGATAATTAATCCAACAAATTTGTAAGATTATTAATAATGGGGTATAGGTGAGATGATTAATCCAATAGATAATTTATCCTGTTAATCCAATTGAATAGTGAATATCACATTAATTTAATAGGATTATTAATACCTCATTAGTCTTGTGAATCAAACATGACCTTTGAGTCTTATTCTGTATGTCATTGTTTTTAATATAAATGTTTTCCATATTCTCAAAAAAAAAAAAAACAAAAAAAAAAACAAAAACAAAAACTCATGGCAAGTCCATAATGAAACTTTCAAGTAAATGTGATATCACATAAAAGGGTCGAGAGGGCGGGCAGAACATTGGCTTAACAACAATGCAAATCAATAGACAATTGAACATCCTCCCATTACTAATAAATTCCAAGAGCCAAGACAATACAGAGAAGATATAGAAACGGAAAAAAGAAGGGAAAAAAAAGTGATAAAATGCATGGAAGTTTCACAGATAAGTTCAACCTCCAAAGCTAACCTCAATTATCCTAAAATAACAATCACCCCAACGAGTGCAGCAAGCCAGTTTTCATCTTTTCCACATAATCAATCAATTCACCAATACAGCCCCAACCTCAACTTTGCAGCAAAAACTGGGATTATATCGACCCAACCCCGTCTTTAGAAAAGTAAGGAGTTAAGCAAACGATTACACACAAAAATTGACACCACCTCTACCCCAAAACTCTTAAAAATACATGTGAACTGTGTCTCACACCTTACAATTCACCAACTAAATTGTGTGTGTGTCAGCCGCAGCCTCTAGATGTTCTGGCTCAACATTCTCAACCGGTGGTAACTGGCCAGGAAGCTCAACTCCAGAAATTGCATTGGCTTGTGTGCCCGGAGACATAGGAGACATCCTTGCCTCAGGAGGCCCAAATACCGGCATTGAGGGTTCCATCTGATCAAATTTTGTCTTACGAGGTCTTTCACGTCTGTCACGACTGCGACTGCGACTACGACTACGACTACAGCTGGGGCTACGGCTGCGAGACCAGCTCCGACTCCGGCTTTGGCTTCGGCTTCGACTCCAACTTCGGCTACGGCTACGGCTTCTACTATAGCCCCATGTTCGAACCCTTTCAGGACTTGAGCTATAACTTCTACCTCTACTCCGGTGTGCAACATCTCTTCTGTTATCAAACCGTCCTGACCCCCTGCCATAGCCCCGTCCACGCCCATCCACATTGTATCTATCATGTGGGGCCCGTTCATTCCTATCCCAGCCAACATGACCACCACCACGGCCACCAAAGTTGCCATCCCTCATGCCTCCACGGCCACCAAAGCTGCCTTCCCTCATTCCAATGCGCCCGCCAAAGCCACCATCCCTCATTCCACCGCGGCCGCCAAAAATACCATCCCTCATTCCACCACGGCCACCAAAACTATTCTCTCTCATTCCACCAAAGTTGCCATCTCTCATTCCACCACGGACACCAAAGTTGCCGTCTCTCATTCCACCATGGCCACCAAACTTGCCATCCCTCATTCCACTACGGCCTCCAAAACCACCATCCCTCATGCCACCATGGCCGCCAGAATCCCAACGAACACCAGCAGTTTCAAAACGGTTCGGCCCACCCCGATCCCTGCCAAAATTGGGCCCACCACGCAAAGCCATCTCTCGTACTTCTGGAGGCACCAGCTGGTCAGCCCCCTCCAGAACTTTTACCAGATCACCTGCATACTTCCAGTCCTGGTCAGAGAAAAAGGTGTACGCCACTCCAGTGGCCCCAGCTCTCCCAGTTCTTCCAATTCGGTGGACATAATCCTCAACCCCATTTGGAAAATCATAATTGATCACAACCCTACAATGCAACAATCAACAACAATTTAAAGTGGCAAATAACTTGCAACAAATGACACAGAATCCTCCAAGAAGAGACATCAAGTCTCATTCATTATTTCCACAAATAAAAACTGAGGTTTGTCTCTAAAATATGAATCCTGTTATTTACGAAAATTAAGAAAAAGGGGGAGATCAGACCTTATATCTTTTATGTCAAGGCCCCTTGCAGCAACATCAGTGGCAACTAAAATCGGGGACTTTCCAGACCGGAATTGATTCAGCACCCAATCTCTCTCGCCTTGAGACTTGTCTCCATGAATTACAGCGGCCCCAAAATTACGTCCAATACTACGTGCAAGCTGGTCACACAACTTTTTCGTTGAACAGAATATAATGACCTTAGAACCCTGTTCTTGGGCCCTAAGAATCTGCTCCAGGCGCCTCTGCTTCTCCATTTGAGGGACTACTTCAACATACTGCAGGGATGATCATAACAAATTCACATCTCATGAAGGAGCAGAATATTTAAAAGGCAGGAGAGAGAAGGGAAAGAACATATTAACAAAAGTTCAAATTGAAACAGAAAGTTAACATATGAGTTGCACAATGAGGAACATTTTACTGTTCAGTCGCAACAACATAACATCTAGGTATCAAAAAATAAAGGAAACAACTTCGATGCATCATGGAGCTTTTCACCTCCCCCTGAAGAAATCCCCCAGCACACAAAGAATCAAGATTCCATTGATAGCAACAATCACCCCCAATACTAATCTTCTAATTTCAATCCAAGGATACATATTAACATAAAACTTTAAGCACAATGCCATATATTTCCAACTGTATATAATTCTTTCCCTCATTACGGTAACTACAAGGTGATATAATATACAATGATTTGCAAGTATATGAATCTCGTGTCTAACAGAAACCAGTAGTCAACTATTATGGCAACTTTACATACACAAAACTTCATCACATATAAAAAAAATTCCAAAAAGCTTAACACTTACAATCACAAACCCATCATAATTAGAACCTTATCCCAATTAAATAAAGGTCACAAAATCTAACCCTCCCAAACACCCATTATTGGATATTAATTGGGTGTCATTCTATAGAAATTCCTGGCCTTCATCAGAACAGCTGACAATAAGAATTGAGTTATTACAGCTTGCATCAAATAGATTTTGCTCGATCAATCCATTATCAAGTTCTAGTTATTAGACTAACAGAAATACAAGGAAAAGAAATGTTGAGAGAATGAGAAATACACCATTAATTTTGATCCAATTCAAAATAACTTTAATCTTTGCATGATAAGTCAAAAAATATGTTGCTTCATTTAAAAGGCCACGAATATGACTTCTACCTGAGTAATAGATTTATTTGCAGCAAGCTCATCGACACTGCCTATGTTCACCTGAACAGGATTAACAAGAAGATCACTTGCTATTTTTCTCACTTCCTTGGGCCAGGTCGCTGTATACATAAGAGTTTGCCGTCGGGGAGGAATCTCATTCACAATCTTACGTATTTGGGGTTCAAAACCCATGTCAAGCATCCGATCAGCTTCGTCAAGCACAAGAAGGGAAACTTGCCCAAAATCAATTTTCTTCATTTCAAGGATGTCATTGAGCCGACCAGGAGTTGCCACGACAATATCCGCCCCTCGATCCAATTCTTTTAATTGTAGACCCTTAGGAGCTCCACCATACAAGCACTGATACAATAATTAGCCCATATGATAAAATCATAATTCTGTACAAACAAGTAAACAAAATGAATTCATCAACATGATTAAGAGGAAATATAGATTTGCGGACTGACTGTGCAAGAGACCCTTGAAGATCGACCGAACTTGAGGACCTCATCTTGTATTTGTGTGGCAAGCTCTCGGGTTGGAGCTAAGACCAAAACCGTTGGGCCATTCTGAGGATTATTACGGCGTCGCCTAAGAAGAATGAATGCCGGGATCAGATAGCCCAATGTTTTTCCAGATCCGGTTTTGGCAATAGCCACTATGTCCCTATTTTGTAGTGCAATTGGCCATGTTTGCGCCTGAATGGGTGTGGGAGACGAGAAACCTGCAAAATGCAACTGAAAAAGGAAATGTATAAGATTGACCCTGAGAATAAAAAGCAAATCAGATGGAAATCACGATTCATAATTAAGAATCCAATATAAAGAATTACATATGGTAATCCAGAGTAATGCATCTTAAGGGGGGAAAAAAGATTGCACAAAGAAAACTCATGGGTATGTGGTTGCTTACTGAAGCAACTTGAGGCAACAAAAGGGAGCAAATAAGACATAAGATGCGGAGCCACTACGCTAGAAATCCCAGTCACAGAAGTGTGATTTGGATCAAGGGCGAACCACCCTTCTGGAAGATGCCAAAGGCAGGCTCCAACTATCCATTTTGCAGCCTCCAAAAGTCAGAATAGTTGTCACGTAAGAATGCGGATAGCAGGGCAGCGTACGACATATGCTCCTCTTCTGGAGCAAATATCGCACCTGCGGCAAGTAAGAATTTTATAAGCTTAAGGAATAAAGAAAAGGGAGAAAAAAAACTACACAAATAAAAATTGAATGGATTTAATAAATTATCATCTATAACAAAACTAAAAGCAACAACAGGCAGTCCTGGCGGGACAAAGAATTTACCTCTTTAAGTATCTCTGGAGGAAAGCCAGTGGCTTCAAACGTCATGAGAGGAGCTGGAACATCACCACCCTATGCAGTTCAATTCAAAAATCAAATTCAAGCAATCTTCAGATGATTAAACAGCTTGCACTGTCTAATATAGATAAAAAAAGACTATTGAACAAGATTAGTGCAATTAAGATGACCAAGCCTTTGGCAAGGGAAAAAAACCTACAGATCCACCATATGCGTTAAACAAAAAGATAAATAAAAAATGACAATAGTCAAAAGATATCACCACTATGAAGTTCAAATATCATAATGAGAGCTCCAATCAAGATGTTTCAACTTTCCATTTCAACATAAAATTTACTCGTGTATGCACATAATTTGTTGAAAGAAAGGGATTTCTGTCTGATGCACAGAGAAGTTACAGAACTACTTGCCAGAGATGCACCCCTGCACATGAAACCCCGGTAGTGGAGTACTGGTAGAACAGAGTTAAAGTTGATAATAATATGAACTCTATAAGTATGATGTGCAAATAAAATTCAAATATCAAAATTTTATGATCCTAATAAGCATAAAAATTACATTCTCTGATAAGGGTTATCAAAATAAAAACTAAGAACATCAAGATTGGCTACTTAATCAAATCTGGATTCTGTGATTTTTCGAATCAAAGAAAGCCTATGTATTTCTGGTTCCAAGATCAGTAGTTCTAACAGTCAACTCTGTTCGATCAAATTATTTCTCGGTATAAAGAAAAGTTAACAACGATAAAATACAAGCTTGTTTTATGGCAATAGTAATTAATCGTTGTTGCTTAAAGGTTTATTTATTTATTTTGCCTAGTTTGGGTAAACATGCAATGTTAGCAACATATTTTTTGCCATAACTGTTATAAAAATTAAATAAAAGTACAACTGTGTAAAAAGGGAAGCACAAGATGCATGGAAATCATGATAGTCAACCAGGGGTAAAAAAAAATGCATGACCAATCATGGGTTACTAACAATTGATGAGTTTCCCCTTAGAGAGACTTCTTCTACAACGATGCACACAAAAGACTCATGATTCTTAAAATTTTCAATATTTTTGTTTCCCTTTCTATGTTGCCTAATAAACAACAAAGCATTAACTTTAATTTTCCTCGTATTTTCCTACTATGTATATTCTATAATACTAAGTTCCTTTTTAACCTGCTATGATTTATTTGTCAATTCACTAAAGCTATCTCATTAATATGCATTCACAATCTCCTATTTATAAAAGCAAAGCAAAGCAAAGGAAACTATACGACTATGACAAGCTCATTATAACATTAGCATACATATTCTTAGAGGGCTCAAGACATTAAAATACAGACCGTTGCTGTGACTTCATGCTTCTGACAATATACATCAACTGGCGAGAGATCAATAGCGTCTGCAGATTCCATAATCATTGGAGGCTGCCTCATCATAGCATTGTTTGGAAAGCCTGGCCCACTGGCTGCATGACCATAAATGTTATGCAAGGCAGGCCCTGCTACAGAGTTTAGTCCACCAGCAATACCAGGTGGGACATTAGGAAGTGTAGCACCACCCACCCTCATCTCCTAATAGAAAGTATCAACAACATCAGCTAAGCATCCATTATCACAAAACAATGGTAATGGTACGAGGAGGAAGATATATAGGGCATACATAAGCATGTTATTAAAGGAGGCAACCCACTATTATTCATGCCTTCTTGGTATCTACACAGAAAGGATATAATAAATTCTTGAAATTGCAAAATCGTAACTAAACAATAGTTGGCCAAGTAATTTTAAAAAATATATAATTTTTTTATAAAAAATTGAAGACAGTATTGTCATCAATGAACATAATTAGAACATGCCTGTTGATTTCTCGCCATGGGTAATACAACAAGCTTTGGCTGCTGGGGAACCATAGCAGTCCCATCATTGCTAGCATTGAGGTAATACTCAATCCCAGCTCTTCTAGATGCATTTTCTTCAAAACCCATCTTTAAATTGACAGGGACTGCACTGGGTTGTTGGCTATGCATTATTGTTGAGTCCAACTGACTTTGAAACCTGGGACCATGTTGCAGCAATGGAACCAGAGAGCCATGTTGTTGCATATTGAGAGAGGAGCTACCAAATGGTTGTGCTTGACCAGTTTGCACACCCATTTGTTGCATCTGAATGGAATTAGTTCCCACTGGAACATTTTGAACAGATGGCCCACCAGATTGTTGAATCTGTGGAGGGGAGAACCCAATTTGCTTTCCTTGTTGAGAATCAACATCTTCTCTGTGCTGGAATCCTGCTTTCTGCTCCTGTTGACGGGGTAATAGATGCCCCTGCACAGTACGCTGCATCTGTTGCAGCGAATTTTGTTGGCCCTGCGGAAGGTTGCTCTGCTGATATGCCATGTACTGCATCTGTTGATGTGTAAATTGATGCCCCTGTGATTGCCCCGTTTGTGAGCCTTGATACATTGGCATTTGTATTTGCTGCATTGACTGCTGTTGCATTTGCAGCATTGACTGTTGTGGCATTTGCTGTGCTGACTGCTGAGGCATTTGCTGTCCTGACTGCAATAAAACTTGCTGATTTGGTTGCTGTATTGTTTGTTGCCCAAGTTGTTGTGGTGTTAAATGTCCCTGCTGTTGCATGGCCTGAGCCAATTGTGATCCCTGTTGTTGTCCGGCTTGTGCTAAGTGTGAACTATGTTGTTGAGCAATTTGTGGCATTAGATGGGGATGTTGTGACGAGTCTGTTTGTTGCCCTTGCTGTTGTGGCGTCTGTGTCATTTGTTGCCCCGGCTGGCCCACACCATTCGATTGCATCATTCGAGCACTTGGTATGGGAGCCAGCTTGGGTGTAGATACCGAGCTAGGCAACCCTGGCGGCAATGGAGGAGGCAAAGAGGATGGCTTTTCATACTGAGTGATGTTTGTTTCAGGATTCCAGTAGTACAAAAGCCCAGTGCTTCCATCAATTAATCCCTGCCAGGGTTTTGGCAGAGTAGGATCCTCAGGCGCATAACGAGGACCAAGGGATGCAGGTGCTGGCTCTGCAGTTGCCATGCTTATTGTTTCCTAAAGCCAGGTAAATCTCAAACATAGTAAATAACAATAACAATTACAACACAGCTAATATTATTATAAAAATTTAAAAACAACAACAACAATAACATTGCAAATGGTTTAATGCAATTTTCCAGAATAACACATATAACTATGTCATATACTTGTAGAAGAATAACAAACGAACTCAGTATTATAGAATCAGTTCATTCAACCCCAACTAGTTCTGGGTTTGGGATGGGTGTGCAAGAAAATAAATTGTTGGCTATACCTCAACAACCTGAGAAAATACTAAGAAATTCAGTTTCATTGCGGAATTAATCTTTGTTTGTTGCAGGTATTTGTTTTCAAGCACCCATATAATAGTAATAATCAAAATCAAAATATCTACGTTTTTTTTTTTATTCTAACATTTTGATAATAAAAAGTGAGACAGCATCAGCTGCATCACAATAACCCCTAGAAGAAAACAAGCATACACTACTAATCCCAAGTGAAGGATTAGTTTTTTATTGTCTTTTTTCTTTGTTGGGGTTATCTTTATTAAGTAGAGAAAATCTATGAACTTTTCACACATTTCATTTGTAGCTTTACAAATATAGATACAGTGACTTATAACTTGGCAAAAAAAACAAAAAAATTATTTGAATTTTTCTTTGTTGGGGTTATCTAATCCTGAGTTTTTTCACACATTCCGCTTCTAGGTTTTACAATTTAAAAACAAAAACAAAAACATCTGTAGAAGCAAAGCAAAGCAGATACGAAAATCGCTTACTTGGTTGAAGAAATCGAGCTTCCAAATTTGGGGACACGATTTGCAGAAAATTGTGAAACCTACAACAATAGGACTCGTGTGTCCCTCTGAAGTTTGAAGCAGAGAGCAATCGAATGGATTTCTAATTTGCTAGATGATGAATTCACAGGGAACGCTCGACTCCGTCTAGGGTTCAAGAATCAGGTAGGAGGCAAGAATATTATTATAGCCTGGAACAAGAGTCCAGGCTTCGGCTAAATGGACCCCCGTGTGATATTTTAGCCTACGATGCCTGTCGTACTACTTATTCGTAACAGACCCTTTGTTTGGATTGGGTGATTTGCAAATGTTCCGGTCACTAATAAAACAAAAACAAAAACAAAAACAAAAACAAAAATAAAAACATAAAAATAAAAAAAATTGTGGGAAATTGTTTTTGTAACATAATTCATATTTTGAATCTTTCAAAAGCAAAAAATTTATGGGACAAAATTAATTAAATATCATTTTAATATAATATCCAAAAATGTCTTTTTAAATATGAAAAAATCAAAAAGACTAATACGATTAACTTTGTAATATAACATAATATCAATTTTATTTTATTTTATTTTTGTCTTCTTTTATGTAATTTAATCAAATAAGATAACCCTATACTAACTCATGGGATTCATCCTCTTCCGGGGAAATTAAAGCTAAATGTGGATGGATGTGCAAAGAGTTCCTTAGGCAAAACTGGATATTGAGGAATATTCAGGGATAGAAAAGGAATGTGGATCTTTGGCTACTCGGAAAAGATTTAGATAGTAACCAAAATGAAAGAAGAGATTTGGACTATATATGTTATAAGAAAAGTAAAATATATATATTTTTCATACACATTTTTAAATATTTTAATTGTATATTGTTAACAATCGTGAAACTAACAGACATACAAATATTTTAGTAAATATTGGCGCGGAGCATATTAAATCACGATGAAAGACCCACCTTATGCACATAGGCCAATTTTTGTAACAAGTATAGTTGGAAACTTACTATATATTAAGCAAAAATGAATTTTTAACCCTAAGGTCTGTGGGAACTCAAATCTCCTAATCCTAATTTTTTAATTTTTTGATTTTAAAAAAAAAAAACCTCAGCATTTATTGACTTCTCCTAACCCACAATCCCTTTTGACTCTCTCATAATTATTGCAACACCCTTTTCAATTTCTTACATACGCTATATTTACACACAAAGATAAAAATAAAGAAAGATAAGAATTTAGCCATAGATCTCAAAAAGATATAACATCTAAATTTGAATTATGATTTAAAAATATAATTATGTATTTTTTATGTAAATCTATCAAAATTTTAAATTACTTAATGAGACAAATTAATCAATTTTTCAAAATTATTGATTTTTAATTTACAAAATAAATTAAAAAAACTATTGACTGATTTATTTATTTAATAACAAAAATATTTCATAATCTCTCCCAACTAATCTCTCTCACAAATTTTCAAAAAAAATATTAAAACTTGCATTCATTTTCTCTTTCCCAAAAAAATCAGATAATATTTTTTTGTTAAAGTTGTACATATCTACCTATATTTTATATATTATATTATAACATAACAAAAAAAACTAAAAAACTAAAAAAACAATCTTTAAAGTTTATTAATAAACTTTAAATCAATAAAACTCACGTTTCTATCACATATCTAACTCACATCATAACTTACCTAAATAATAATAATTAAAAACAAATGGAAATCACAGATAATTTAAATTTAAAAAAAAAAGATACCCACAACTCCATCTTAAATAAATTGAAAAAAAAATACCCGAATAGAAACCACACAAAAATAAAAATAAAAATAAAAATATATATCTATCTATCTATTTATACTATATATTAACCAAAATCAGATTTTTAACCCCAAGCCTTGTGAGAACTCCAATCACCCAATCTAAATTTCTTGATTTTTTGATTTAAAAAAAAAAATCTTAGCATTTATTAACTTCTTTCAATTTCTAAGTCTTACCCTCATAATAACACTTTAATGCATTAAGAACAAGCATAAAAAAAAATTCTTGAAAAGTCCAACATATCTATCTATATCTATACTATATATTAAGCAAAAGGAGATTTTTAACCCCAAGACCTGTGGGAGCTTCAATATCCCAATATGAATTTTCTAAATTTTTTATTAAAAAAAAAACTCGAAATTTATTGATTTGGTCAAAATCTCCTGTTTAGCATTTAAAATTCCTTCATACAAATAATTATAGATACAATATGTGTATAGTTACTACAGTATCCTTTTCAACTTCTCTCATACACTATGGTTAGTGATAAGATTGTTAAATTATTTCTTATAGAAAATCTTAAAAAAATAATTTATATATTAAAAAAAATCTAAAATAAAGATAATTATCTATAATTGTCCCGTGCATAGCATGGGTGATATGTTATCTATACTATATATTAAACAAAATGAGGGTTTTTAACTCGAAGCCTTGTGGGAGCTCCAGTCTCCCAATCTAAGTTTCTTGATTTTTTGATTTTTTAAAAAAAACCTTAGCATTTATTAATTTCTCTCTACTCCCAAGTCTTACCCTCATAATAACACTTTAATGCATTAAGAACAAGCATAAAAAAAATTCTTTGAAATCCAACACATGAATTCCTTGTATTAAAATATTAAACTTTAATATAATATAATAAAAAAAAATAAGACATTTAATTCTCTAAAAATTTTAACACATATGATTATTATCAAAATATTAAACTTTAATATAATATAAAAAAGAAAAAAAAAAGAAGACATTTAAATTTTTTAAAAAAAAAGACATTTAAAAATCGCAATTCACATATATAGATAATTGTAAATATATTAAGAAAAAGAGGGTTTCTAAACCCCAAGCTTTGTGGGAGCTCCGATTTTTCAATCTTAATTTTCTAAATTTTTTATTTAAAAAAAAATCTCAGCATTTATTGATTTTGTCAAAATTTTCTGATCAGCATTTATTAGCTTTTTCCAATCCACATGCTTGTATTTATTGATTTGGTCAAAATCTCTGATTAGCATTTAAAATCCCTTCATACAAACAATTATAGATAACGCCCATGCATAGTTACTGCAGTAGCCTTGTTACAGTCTTAACTAAGGCCTCGTTTGGGAACAGATTAATTTAGTAATTTTTTGGTTATTTGGTTAAAATATGAGCTAAAAAAAATTAGTATGTTTGGGATGACTTTTTGACTTTTTACGAAAAGATGTGCAAAAAGTACAGAGAAAATAGAATCTTTGACTTTTTTGTATGTGTTGTTGGCTTTTTGGCTAATTTAGTAACTTTTTGGCTAATTGGCTAAAATAGCCTCTTGCCAAACGAGACTTAAGTAAAAGGGGATTTTTAACCCCAAGTCTTGTGGGAGCTCCAATCTCCCAATCTAAATTTCCTGATTTTTTTATTTAAAAAAAAAAAACTTAACATTTATTAACTTCTCCCAACCCCAAATCTTACCCTCATAATAATACTTTAACGCATTAAGTACAAACATGAAAAAAATTCTTTGAAATTCAACACATATGAATTCCTTAAAAAGTCCCAACACATATAATTATGAGCTCTCATAATAACACTTTAATGTATTAAGAACAAACATTAAAAAAAAAAAATTTAAAAAGTCCAACACATATGATTATTATCAAAATATTAAATTTTAATATAATATAATAAAAAAAAGAAGACATTTCATTCCTTGAAAAATCCAATTTTTTTTTTTTTAATTCCAAACAAAAAATCCAACAAAAAAAAGAAGACATTTCATTCCAAACTCATTAAAATTTTAATTTTACCCTATTAAAAAAAATTTAAATCGTTAAAAAAAAAAGTCAAGACGGCAAACAGGGCATAATAGAGAAAAGAAAATAAAGATGTAGGAAATCCCGTTCGGTGGGCCTCCGTTGTTTTAAATTGCTGAAGAGTCCCTCACTGCTCCTTCAAATACCAGAACTCTCGAATTTTCTCGTTTCTTCTTCTTCTTCTTCTTCCAATAATCTCTCTCTCTCTCTCTCTCCAAAACATAGCAAAAGCACCTAAAAGGAAACCCCAAAATCAGTGGAAAGGCATTGGAGTGGTGGAAGCTGGCTCTCGAACCTAGCAATGGCCATCGAAACCGAAGCCGCAACTGCCCCAGCGTTGGCGGCCCTTGCCGACACCGATGTCAATTGGGACAGGTCTCCCCCCCCTCTCTCTCTCTTATCCCCCCCTCTCTCTCTTATATATATATATATATGTATATATGTCTGCGTGTGTATGATTGTTTAATCAATGAATATCCATGATCGATTTGTGAGATACATATTATTCATGATCTCTTTTTTGGTTGTGATCCAATAGTTTTTAGTTATGCCTTAAATGGGTTATAGTTATCGGTTATGACCCATTGTGTGGTTGTTTTGGTTATAACTAAAATGGTTTAATTATGAGACAAAGTGATATCAGCGTCACAAAATGTGATAAGTTGCATACATGTTTTCGAGTTTGTTTATTGTAGAATCTTCCCAGTCCTAGTACAGATATTATTTACATGTGTGTTTGTGTGTGTGTGTGAGTTATTATGGGGTGTGTGCTCTGTGGGGCATATGCACAGAAGTATGCAGCAACATGATGTTACCCAATGGATAGTTGAGAAACATATTAATTTATTCAATGTCAATGGGTTTTTGATATAAAGTTTGGATGATGAAGACCTATGGATAGTTCGGAAAAACCAAAAAGTTAGAAAACTTTTTTTAAGTCCCAACAACAACCCGTTTGGATTCAGTGATTTGATGGGAAATGATAAGAAATGATTACATAGATAACTTTTTTTGTCATATTTGGTTTTACTAGTTAGGTAAGAAATGATGAGAAAGGATAAAAAATGGAGAGAAAGAGAACTCTGTTATTATGCCATTTTCACTTCTCACAAAAAAATGGAGATTTGGTGAGAAACCAACCAAACTGATTGGCTGTATTATTTTGATTTTTTTATAATCTACTAAGATTGTACATCAAAATACAAAGGGAAAAATAAATTCTTACCCATATCCCTATTTCACATGATTTGCTTTCTTATTCATTTAGACATGATAGTGAGAAAACACAAATATATATATATATATATATATTTTTCACCTAATATAATGGAGTTGGCAGTTATGTTATGTTCCATTTTACTTTGGAGCCATATTTCTGGGCATTTCTTGAGTGGCAATTAGTATGACCTTTGCAGTTTTGATCATGGAACTTT